GGTCTCTAACTCCTGGCCTCAAGTGATCCACCCGCCTCAGCCTCCCGAAGTGCTGAGATTACAGGAACCACCGCGCCCAGCCAGTTTGTCATAAATATTCTTCTTTGCTTCCTGGATTCAGTGCTTTGAACAGTCAAACAGTGTCATTAGCGGATATTGCGTCTATTTTTATCCACCCATTCTCAGGTTTTCAGCCTGAATCCTATTATTGTGCCATAAATGGTAGTTAATTGGTGGGAGAAATGTCTCTTTAACACTCTTATTCTTGGGGAATAATATAGTGTTTTTCCTAGTAATTGAATCTAGACAGACTTTCTGAATCAGCAGGCATAAATAGACATTTATCTGAGAGACTAAACCTTGACTGGGTTTTCTCTGGAAACCCAGCTCATGCCTAGAGAGCCAACAGTTTGATCTTCATTTCTGAAATATTTCCTGCCCCACAGATGCCTTGCTGAGGAACCTGGGATGTGAATGTCATGTGCTTTAGGTCAAGGGAGGCCTCGCCCTAGCAGACACTTAATGCTCTGGAGGATTCAAAAGAGATAGAAGACTTGGTCGCTGCCCCAAGAAGCAAACAGTTTGGCTGGGGAGACAAGACTTGCCTGAATTAAATAGCTAGAGAAAGAGATATTTTAAGTGCATTAAAAAAAAAACAACCAAGCTCCTGTTCTGTGGTTTCTAGATTTAAAGATGAAATACTGAGTGTCTAAGCATAGTGTCATTCATGCAGGAAGTAGCCACCATCGGGGCCTTGAACAGAAGAAGGATTGGAATTAGCAAACCAGAGGGAGACAGAGCTTCACGGCCCAGGGAGGAGGAACGTGCAGGCCAGGAGGTAGATAGAGCATGGGAATGTCACAGAGTACAAGGGAGGTGAGAAGGGGCTCCTGCCGCTGTGGGGACAACGAGATGAGTGTGCTTTATGAGCAGGCAGCCACAGGGCTTGTACTTGAACTTGAGCTTACATCATAGAGGGCCCATGTGGGACCCGAGGTTGGGAAGGGCTGGCAGGAAGTCAGGATTTGGGGAAGACCAGTGAGGCAGGGATGGAGGAGGTTGGCTGGGAGGCAGAGGGAGGAAGCGGTACTTCTGCAGGCCTGGGGTTGTGGGCGGAGTTGGCGGGTGGTGTGGGGCAGCACCTGAGTGTGGAGGGAGGACCCCTGTCTGGAAGGCTGGAGAGCCCTACTGCTGACACCCTGGGGACTCCCTGTTTCAATGGTGAAGACGTGAAGCGCTGCTTTGGGGAGGAGGATGAGAGTTCTATTTGGTCTTCGGCTGTAGATTTGGAGTCTTCTGTGTTCAAGGGTGTTCAAGGGTGGTCATCACTAGTGTGTGCATGAGTTTCCCATGGCTGCTGTAACAAATCACCACACACTTAGTGGCTTAACACTACAGAGATGTGTTCTCTCAACATCTGGAGGCTGGAGGTCTAAATCAAGGCCTCCACAGGGTCACACTCCCTCCAGGGCTTCAGGGTCCTCTTCCATGAGCCTCCACCTCCCAGAGGTTCCTTGCTTCCTTGTGCATGGCTAAAGACACTCCAGTCTCTGGCTCTGTCTTCACATAGCTTCACCTCTGTGTGTGTGCATACATGTGTGTGCACATGTGTATATGTGTATGTCCACACATGTGTGTGTGTGCACATGGGTCTCTGTGTGTACGTGTATGTGTGCATGTGTGTGTGTGTCTGTGCATGTGTGTATGTGTATGTGTGCATCTCTTGGTGTGCATGTGTGTGCATGCATCTGTATGTGTGCAAATCTGTGTGTGTGTGTGCATCTGTGTGTGCATGTTCATCTGTGTGTGTGCATGTGTGCATGCACATATATGTGCATGCATGTCTGTGTGTGTGCATGTGTACGTGTGTGCATGTGTGTCTTCTCCTTTTCTGTCTTTTATAAGGACATTTGTCATTGAATTTAGGGCCAGCCAAGGTAATCTAGGATGATCTCATCTCAAGATCCATGACTTAATTACATCTACAAAGACTTGTTTTTCAAATAAGGTCACCTTCACAGGTTCCAGGGATGAGAGTGTGGACGTATCTTTTGGGGGACACCATTCAGCCCACTGCAGCATGTTTTTTTTTTTTTTAGGAGGGCACGTAGAGGAAGGATACAAAGTGCCTGGGTGGAGAGGAAGCCACTGTGGGTCTTCTGTGGGAATGGCGTCACATGCTTCTCCCATTTGTGGTTTGTCACATGACCACTCGCACGCCTTCAACTCAGCCTTGTATGCAACTATGCGCCAAGCACTATTTATTTCCTTTAAGCATTATGAAAAGGGGACAAGAAAGGCTTTACTCTCCCCAGCTTACAGATAAGGAAATAGAAGCCGAGGATGTCTAAGTACCCGAGGGCACTCAGCTAGACCCAGTGGAGTGGCTCTGAGTCTAGGCCACCAGCTCCAATGCCTGAGGACTGGACTTTAATCATTACATTTGTCTTTGTGAGTGTGTTAGCCTGTTCTCACACTGCTAATAAAGATGTACCCGAGACTGGGTAATTTATAAAGGAAAGAGGTTTAATGGACTGATAGTTCAACATGGCTGGGGAGGCCTCACAATCATGGCAAAAGATGAAGGAAGAGCAAAGGCATGTCTTACATGGCAGCAGGCAAGAAAGTATGTGCAGGGGATCTCTTCTTTATAAAACTATCAGATCTCATGAGACTTATTCACTATCATGAGAACAGCATGGGAAAAACCAGCCCCCATGATTCAAGTACCTCCCACCAGGTCCCTCCCAGGACATGTGGGAATTATGGGAGCTACAATTCAAGATGAGATTTAGGTGGGAACACAGCCAAACCATATCAATTAGTAAACTTTATTTTATTGTCCTCAGCTCTCACCCTCTCTGGCTGTCACTCATCTTTAAAGCAAACAGATGTTCCTGGGGGCAGGGTCTGAGCTGCATGGGGTGGGTGACGTAGCACCAGCTAAGGAACAGAAAGGCTTCACTCTCATTCAGTAAATCTGGTGGGGGGCACCCGGTGTTAAAGCTGAGACCAAGCTGGCTGCAGAGCTGGGAGGTTCAGCTCATGAATTTTGGAGTCACACTGCCTGCATCTGAGTCCCAGCTGTGCCTCCTCCCTGCTGTGGGATGCTGCACGAGGCACTTCTGCTCTCTGTGCCTCAGCCCACTCATCTGTAAAATGGGACTCTGCAATCCTACTTACCTCCTGGGTATTTAAAATTAGGATAAAATGCACATGTGTGCGTGTGCATGTGTGTGAATATATATTATTGTCATCCTTTGGTATCCGTGGGAGATTTGTTCCAGAACCCACTGCAGATACCAAAATCCACAGATTCCTCAAGTTCCTCATATAAAGTGATAATGTGTTTGCATATAACCTACCCACATCCTCATATATACTTTAAATCATCTCTAGATTACTTATAATACCTAATGTAAGTGTTTTGTAAATAATTGTTATACAGCATTGCTTTTCTGTATTACTTTTTTTTTTTTTTTTTTTTTTAGACAGAGTCTTGCT